TTAGCCTTGCGGAAGGACAGTTGCAGCCCCAGTGCCCCCAGTCTAACAGAACGGGTGCTGATGAGCTTCATTAAGTGCCTTGTCCCCATTCTCTTTGGCCTTAATGACTGCAATAACTGTTGGAGGCACCTGGCTTGCAGAATGAGGTTCAGAATCATTAGTAGACCTTTCTCTTGTTGGCCAATCCACCCGAGTAGCTGCCTGTATGAAGTCTCTGAGAACTGCACTGGGATTCAGAAGCAATTGCTGGTGTGGCTCGTGTATGTGCTCAGGCTGGCTCAACGAGTAGTCATTAAGTTCCACTGAGGTCGTTTTGCTTTTATATTCCATTACCCAAAGCCATTTAGAGTCACCTTGCCCAAAAAAATGAGACTCAGCACGATTTACTGGAGTAAAGCACTTGAAAAAGTGGCTGAGGCTTAGTGGAGGCTGTCGGGGCTGTGACCCTGACGATGGTCTGAAGACCTTCAGAGCTCTTATTGAGTCCTTGGGTTTGCCCCAGTCACAGCACCCTGGGGTGCTGCACATGCAACACCTCTTGGAAAAATAAAAGCACCCAAGATGGAGCCTCTCTGACACATTTATCATGTCTAAGTGAGAAATCTGGCCAATGTGAACTGCCCTTTCACAAGTCTAACAGGTTTATTCTCTTTGAAAATAGAATCTTTAAACACCCCAAATTTCTCCCTTGGATCTAGTCTAAAATCCCTTTTGGTTTATAACAACATCCTGCTGGTTGTTGCTCTGTGGTGCAGCACAGCTCCTGAGAGGGCCATCTTTAGTGGGGAAAGGGGCTGTGGGAGAAGAAGCTGCCATTGGATGGCCAGGCTTTAACGTTGGCGTCGCCTTATCTTGCTGTATCTTTTTAACCTAGTTTTGTGTGAGGATAGAGAAGAATCCTGGCCTTGGTTTTAGTATCAGTGGTGGAATAAGTGGACAAGGAAATCCATTCAAACCTTCTGATAAGGTAAGTTACACGTTTCTCTCTAAATGGTTCTTAGTTTAGAGTGCCATAGAGTGGAGATGTAGATAACATGGGGGAAATTTGTGTGTACTTTATGTGAGAACTGAAAGGGATTTTCCCATACTTTTAGGGGTTTTTTTTTGTTAGGGGAGTGTTCACCTTTTTTTCTTCTGATTAATGAAGATGAGAAAATCAAATCAGAAATACTATGGGTGTCTTATATTCCACATATAAGAGAATTGTTGAGCCTGTTTTCTGGAGAACCATCTCTCTCACTTTTTTCTTTAAAGAGACACTCTAGGCCCTGATTAAACTTTCACTCAAGTCCTTACAGGGAAGACTAAACCAGTCAAAAGGCCAAAAGTAGCCAAAAGGCCAGTGTTGACAGCAGCTAGATCAAATCAAACCAGCCAGGACTGGAGCTGATTGGTGCCTTCCAGACACCACCCTCTGCACCCTGAATTAAACGTGCCACCGTTGTGGTCCATGGTGGTCAGAGAGACCCCGTGTTCAGTCTGGGAATGACACGTTTAGGGAGTTATAAATCTCTTTTAAAAAAATAAAAATACAGCTTCTGGAGGTTATCAGCTACTCAAGGGTTGGGGAATAGACTTTTAGACCTGTGAATTTGTTCTGTGTGGTAAAACTGACTGGAGTTTGTTAAAAACAAATACGATGGGTAGAACTCAAACGTATTCTTGGAGTTGATATTCTTTGGTCATACTGGATTTGGTTTTAAGAGGCAGTCAGAACTTCCATAAATACTTAGAAATTTTGGAAAACGATGAAATGAAAGCTGTCTTTTCATCTCTTCTCAAAAATGTAAGAGCTGCATGTAAATTAAAAAAAAAAGCATAGTTTCCCCACTGCTCTGAATTACAACAGAAAGGGAAATGGAAATGGAAATTATGCTTGGAAACATCAATCTAACACAACCTGAATTCCTTTCAGTTTTCTCGTGGATGATCCTTGGGCTGAACTTCAAGACTAATTTCATTTAATGTTTGTAACCATCAGGCTTAACGACTCTCCCTTAAAACATCCTCAGTTTTGGTGCCTTTCTTTGAGGCTCAACACTAGAATTACACTCTATAACATCATTGTCTTGTTTTCAACCATTTAATGGGTGGTGTTGGAGTTAAGCTGTACTTCCACTGCTGGCCACTTGCCTTAAGTTGCTCAAGAAGGAGGGATGTGTCTGCACCAGTCATACCTGAAGTGCAGTAACTGGAGTGAGACCATTTTACCCATAGCAGAAATGCAGGACAGGGCTGCATGAGATGTGTGGGGAGGACTCTGGGTGTCCTCACCATCTAGGAACTCAGTCTTTGGATTTTATTAATGTGTGCTACTGAAATTCTGAAATCCATTTGAAAAATATCATTTATTGTTTAAATAATTTCCCCCTTTCAAAGTCATTCACCCCTCAGGTTGCTGAAGTAAGTGACTGTCCTACTGCCTGTTGTACTGTGTAGCTCTGTGCTTCTCAGAAATGGCTTTAAACCTTTTATTTTTCCCCCTAAAGGAATTAAATAAAGATTACTGTATAGATAACAGTCCCTGTTATTCTAATAAACTAATGCTTGCTCCATTTTCACTGTCCTCCTGATGACCCTCTCGCCCTCTTCATATTGAACATTATTTTCACAGCATGTTTCCAGGGCCTGGGGCATCTCCCACCTCTCAGGGCCATTTGGTGACATGGAATCTTAGTTTCAAATGGCCCATGATGGATTTGTCCCAGGCATTAGCTAGCTAGAAGGTCACAGAGAGCTGCTTCAAACCTGCACTCCTGTCTTGATTCTGAGCAGAATAGAAAAAATAGGTAGTGTTTAGACTATGAATCCCTCCCCCCCCCGACAGCAGTTAGGGAGATACCTGTATTTTGGGAACTAGTTCTTGGTGATAGCATCCTAACCTGTGTTACTTCTGACTTATAGGGTATCTTTGTTACTAGGGTTCAGCCTGACGGACCAGCGTCCAGCCTGCTCCAGCCTGGTGACAAGATCCTCCAGGTAGGGGTGGATTTCATTTTCCTAACTGGACTGAGTCTTTGCATCTAAGTCTGATGATGTTGGTTCAGAGTGAGAGAACTGCTGGCTTGGTTATGATGGGACTTTAGGGTTGATTGATGACAGGGGATCATTTTTTCCGTGCCAAGAGCACAAGAAGGTTGGGAGGGAGAAAGGAGCTTTACAGGTGCTTCCACAGGCAGGAGCACGTGACAGAGCAAGACATGCTCAGAATTTTCCCCTGTGCAGTGGTGTAAGGAGCTGTGTAGCCACATTTTTTTGACAGAGTGCTAACTGGCCTTATTTTTGCCTGTCTTCTGCTGCCTCAGCATTTCTGAGCGCACTCCCATGGAAACCAGCCCCTCGTGGATCCACTGCTGGGCCACAGTGGCAGCTGTGGGACATAACCAGAAATCTCAGCTGCTGCTTTTCTTTCTTATCCTCTAACAAACATTTCCTGTATTCCAGTGAACTTTTAAAACAGAAAGGCTATTCCTGAACACACCTCTCAAAAATTCCTCATTCACAGAAAATGTCCATGCAGAAAAGGGGTTTCTGCACCTCCTGCAGGGTTGGTTGGGGCCTTTTTAAGCCTGGAAAATGTGTTACCACTGGCAGCAAAGAGTTGGCACTTCTGGCAAAGGGAAGAGAGTCATCAGAGTTATCTGAAAGGCTTGTGAGAGTTCTGAAAGCCATTCACACTGATCAAGGTTGAGAGGTTAACTGTGTTTGAATCGGTTCTGTGAAGGAATTTGACAAACCAGGGATGTCTCAGACACCCTCAGGCCTCTCTCCCCCTCCCTCCCTCTCTCCTTCCCCTCGTACCCAGCCTGGGCACTGGAGCAGTTACCAGCTCTGAAGTCTAAACTCGTGTTTAATGGCTAATATGTCAAAGAATGGTGAAATAAAGAAAACACCAAAGCTAAATGAAGTACAAAATTAGCTAGAGATAGTGAGAATCAGAATTGTTTAGGTTGGAAGAGACCTTTAAGATCATCAAGTCCCCCAGCACTGCCAGGTCCCCACTAACCCACGTCCCTCAGCACCACATCTCCATGGTTTTCAACCCTTAGAATGATCAAGGTGCTGTACTGAAAGCTATTAGAAACAAAAAGAGGTGAAATAGGCTAAAAAGTCAGGGTACAATCTGGTGAGGAGTTCCATTCAGCTCCAGCCCCCTGCCACGGGCAGGGACAGCAGGGACACTTTTGAGCTGCATTTCCTTCCTAGCTATGGTAACATCAGATGATTTCTCCTGCTGGGCAGGGGCCCTGTGGAGCTGGGATGTCTCCTGCTGCAGCCTGTGTTGCTAAAACAGGACCATTTAAATCTCTTTATATAATCCCTTTTAAGGTGCTGCTGCTATTTTTGGGGGGGGTAGCAAATTTCACTCTCTGAATTTCTCCATCTCTTAGGCTGATGGGGTGGGTTTGACTCTGTGCTCTCAGCCATTCTGGTAGGATTGTGGGTCAGTCTCAGCAGTTTCTCTTTTGTCCCTGTCAGAGCATCATTTCCAAGTCCCTGGCAGGAACATTTTCCTTTTATTTGCAATTACTTCTACCCATGCTCAGCACCTCTTACCCGCTGCTGATTTATCCTGTGGCAAAGGTGGTCATTCATCTCAGGAAGGAATTAGCAGAGGAAGAAAACCATAACTGTGATGAGGGATATTTTACTTCTCAGATATAAGCAACACCTTTAGCTCAGAGGATCCAGTTCCCTTGGCAGTCAGGACTGGGAATTATTAATGCCTGCTGGCATCACTTCAGCTCCACCCCCATTCTCCACCATTGCCTCTGTTTGCATTCATCTCATGAGACAATCCCCTGCCAACAGAGACCAGGACTTTGTCCTACCAGTTGCTGTGTAGGAGGAGGTTCCTCTTCACCCAGAGCCCATCTCTTTTGTCATCTGTAGTCCTCTGCACCACTTGTCTTCCACAGCTGTGCTGCCTGTGACACCAGTTTCTGATGGGACTCGTGTTTCCTCATTCTGAGCCCACTCTGTCCTCATCTGTCTGCCCCCTGAGCTGCTTTTAGCATCATCTGTATCTTCCCCCCATCATGTCTGGCTGGCTCTTTTCTCCCCACATTTACTAGCTGGTGACCCCAGTGTCCCCATTACTAGAGCACCTCAACGTCTGGGCACCTTTTGTGCTCCCATGCCATGAACTGAGTTTCCTCTGGGTCCTACAAAGGAATCTATCAGCAGACAAAGGCTACAGCAGGATGATATTTTTATATTTCCCTGGCAGAATTTGTGTAGCAGGATGTTTTCAGGAGGAGAACTTGATGCTTTTATATGTCTCCTCAAGCCGTTTTGGTAAAAGAAGGAGGGAAGATTTAAAAATGTGAAGGTTTGACATTCCCTGGGTGGCCTTGCCCAGTTCATGGAGGTACTGTCCTTTTTTAAACACATTTTTTGCCCAATGCCTGTTTTGGGTAGAGGATTCTGTGTGTGTGTGTCTTCAGAGGTGAACTGATTCTGGTCCTCATGGCTCCTCTGGGATCCTGGGGGAGCAAAATTGTACCTTTCCTTTCTGTGCCATAAGAGCTTCATTTAATTTGATAGGAAAAAAAATGAGTTTTCTGTTATAAAATCAGCAGCAGGTTTGGTAGGTGACTTTTAAGGAGCACCAGAGTTGCTGGGCTGGAATCTGTCAGCAAGGAGAGTGCAGCTCTGTCAGCTGGGTCATGAAGTTTTGTCACCATATCTTAGAGGTTGCTCTTCAGCTCAAAGAATTCTAATTTTGGCCCCAGGATTCAGTTACAACCCATGGAAATGGTCTCCAGAGGTCCCTTCCAGCCACGCTCATGGGCATCCTAGTCAGAAGTCACTGCAGAGGTGTGGTCGTGGCCACGCCATCACTCTGGGCTGGACATCCTTTACCACAACAAGGGGGCACTGGGGTGTCCTTTCTTGCAAGCCACTGGTCTGAGGGAGGGTCTTGACATCCATCTTCCATACGTATGGGGTGCAGTATGGCTGGCCAAGAAGATGTCCATGGGATTATACCTCTATCCTCAGCACTGGGGAGGCCACACCCTGAATCCTGGGTTCAATCTCTTGGGCCCCTCACTCCCAGAAGGACCTTGAGGGGCTGGAGCGTGGCCAGAGAAGGGCAACGGAGCTGCTGGGGAAGGGTCTAGAGGCCAAGTGTGGGGAGGAGCAGCTGAGGGAGCTGGGGGTGCTGAGCCTGGAGCAAAGGAGGCTCAGGGGAGCCCTTCTGGCTCTGCACAGCTCCTGACAGGCGCCTGGAGCCAGGGGGGGGTCGGGCTCTGCTCCCAAGGGACGAGCAACAGGACAAGAGGAAACGGCCTCAAGTTGCCCCAGGGGAGGTTGAGGTTGGAGCTGAGGAACAATTTCTTGCCCTGGAGGGTTGCCCAGGGCTGTGCCAGGCTGCCCAGGGCAGTGGTGGCGTCCCCACCCCTGGAGGGGTTTCCAAGCCGTGGAGATGTGGTGTGAGGGACACGGGGCAGTGGGGACCTGGCAGTGCTGGGGGAACAGTTGGACTCCATGATCTGAAAGGTCTCTTCCACCCCAGACAACTCCGTTCCTGAGCCAGCTGAGTGTCTACCTGGCTGGAGGTCCACAGGAGTCTGAAGACTGAGCTGGCACCTCAGGAGGGGTTTTGAGGCTTTCAAATGGCAGGTGCCTGCAGCAAGAGTTGTCTTTGTCCATTCCCTGAGCACCTTTGTGGGCTGGCCTGAGCACGTACCTCGGTGGACTGTGGGAAATCATCGTACGATTTACTTCAGCCATGGTTTTAATCTTCATCTACCTCTTGAATTTTTCCCTATCCCCCAAAAATGAAGAGGCCTAAACCCAACCTCATTTGATTTCTCTTCTTGTGCTTGTCTTGCAGGCCAACGGACACAGTTTTGTCCATATGGAACACGAGAAAGCTGTATTACTACTGAAGAGTTTCCAGAACACAGTAGACCTAGTTATTCAGCGTGAGCTTACTGTCTAACTATTTTTTTATAAATAGTAAATATGCCTAGCCAGATCTAACGTTCAGATTTATACATAGGAAACCATTTTTTTTTGCCAATTGCTGGACCAATGGCAAAGAGTAGTGCCAAATGTATAATATTCTATGTTAGTACCAATCATCCGCGAGGGGGGGAGGGGGAAAAAGAAAATATATTAACTCTATAAATCTATTGTTCATGTGGCTATGTATTAGTTTTAATTGTCAGCCTCTGGCTGTGCATTGGTGCATTTTTTTTTTTTTAATCAAGTTCCTTCTTAAAAAGTCGATTTCATATGATTTCAGAACACAGAAGCACATACAAATTCTTTAGGAATTCTGCTGTCCATCAGAAACACTGCCTCAAAGTTGTATATGCCTTTATAAAGAGAAAATATATTAACCTGTACTTCCCATGAAATATTTCTACCATGTCACATACAAAAAAGAAAAAAAAAAAAATAGAGAGAAAAAAATATTTTCATAAACACCTCGAAGAAAGTATATATTAAATTAAATTTAATAATGTTCATTTATTTTCAATGCAAAGATATTCTATGCCTTATGAAAAATACCTGTACATATGCAGTGTGTATAGCTGGCTCCACATCGATGAGTAAAAATGTCACTATACAGGGTGAGATTCTCCATAAATTCCACTTTGTCAGCTCTGGGACCTAGATGTAAAAAGAACCCACATGAAAATGGGTGAAATTTCTTTTCGTTGGTTCCATCAACCCCCCCCCAAGGGGCAAAGAGTGAATTTAGGCAGGTCCTGGGTCGGGGGTGGGAGAAGGTTTTGATGGGTGGCAGGACAAGTTCTTCTGTTGCTGCTGATTTTATTGTTTAGCTGTTTAATTTGAAGCTGCAGGCGCTGCACTTTCATCCCCTGTCCCCCCTACTCTGAGATTCTTCTGTCCCCACCCCTGCTCCAGGCCGTGGTGGCCCCAGGTCACAGCAGCCACCACCCGGGAGGTGTTGACTTGACCCAAGCCCTTATAGCCCAGTCTCTCCACAGGGGAAGGGAGCAGGTTCAGGATTTCAGGATTCCTCCCGAGCTACAGCCCGTGCTGGGTGATGTCCTCCCAGTCTGGACTCCCTGCAGGTCCCAGCCCCGGCCCCCAGCAGGGACCACCACCAGCACAGAGCTCTGAGAGCTCCTGGTGGTTCAGCACCTCCGGTGTGGTGACCCACACAAGGTGGGAGACACCCAGACCCCCCACCCAAGGTTTCAGGGGCCCGGGTTCGACTGACAGCACTGGGAGGGCCAGGTTCTCACACCCCTTTCCCACCTGGATTGGAAACACCCTCCAAGTCCCAGGTCAGGGGAGGGGACCTATGGCAAAGGGTCATGGCCAGGAACGTTCTGCTCTGCTTGCAAGAGCCTCTAGAAATTCTTAAACTTCTCCTCTCTGTCCCATCTCTTGGGCCCCTCCCTCCCAGAAGGACCTTGAGGGGCTGGAGCGTGGCCAGAGAAGGGCAACGGAGCTGCTGGGGAAGGGTCTAGAGCCCAAGTGTGGGGAGGAGCAGCTGAGGGAGCTGGGGGTGCTGAGCCTGGAGCAAAGGAGGCTCAGGGGAGACCTTCTGGCTCTGCACAGCTCCTGACAGGAGCCTGGAGCCAGGGGGGGATCAGGCTCTGCTTCCAAGGGACAAGGGACAGGACAAGAGGAAACGGCCTCAAGTTGCCCCAGGGGAGGCTGAGGCTGGACATGAGGAGAAACATCTTAATGGAAAGGGTGGCCCAGGGCTGTGCCAGGCTGCCCAGGGCAGTGGTGGAGTCCCCACCCCTGGAGGGGGTTCCAAGCCGTGGAGATGTGGTGTGAGGGACACGGGTCAGTGGTGGACCTAGGAGTGTTAGGTTCACTGTTGGACTCAATGATCTTCAAGGTCTTTTCCAACCAAAACGATTCCATGATTCCTGATTTCCATCAGGCACACACTGACTGAGGTCATCACACTTCCAGTGAAGCTTCAGAAGGCAGTAGGGCCATTATCTCTCTCTCCCTGGTGCCCTGTGGCCCAGTGGGGTAAATACAGCTGGTGGGTTCCTGCCCCACGGGGAGCAGGAGGCTGGAGCTCCGAGAGGTGCCCTCAGCTGGTGTGCCCCTAATCCTGACGTCTGCAACGGGACTGAACGAGCTGGTGAGGTTCAGAGCATAAATCTAAATCACTCCTAATTTGTGTTTAAAAGTCAGGGAGATGTGGTGCTGAGGGACCTGGTTTAGCAGTGGACTTCACAGAGTTAGATGAACGGTTGGACTTGATGATCTTAAAGGTCTTTTCCAACCTAAACGAGTCAATGATTCTCAGGAAATTAAAGGCTTCCTGACAGCACAGGCTGAAAAAGGCTTGTTGGATTCAGGTTTGGGTGGAAACCCATTTGAATTGGGTTTGGATCATTATTTCCTCAATTTTTTCAGCTTTCAGTTTTCTGTCACGTTGATGTCATTTCACAGGGTTTCATCAAGCTGCACAAAATCTGGCAGAGCCCATTTAAATCTTCCCTGACATTCAGAGGCTGAAAATTCCATTCATTATCCTTTAAAAAAAAAAAAGGAAATAAGGATTTATTGAACATCGTACTCAGAAAACTGTAGACATCTAAGGAGCATTGAGTTAATTATGTCAAATGAAAATTATCACAGAATCATCAGATGGTTTGGGTTAGAAGGGACCTCTGGAGATCATCTAGTTCCAACCCCTTATAAATGAGGCAGAAGTTCTTCCCTGTGAGGCTGGTGAGACCCTGGCCCAGGTTGCCCAGGGAAGCTGTGGATGCTCCATCCCTGGAGGTGTTCAAGGCCAGGCTGGATGGGGCTTGGAGCAACCTGCTCTAGTGGGAGGTGTCCCTGCCCATGGTGGGGGTTGGAACTGGATGATCTTGAAGGTCCCTTCCAACCCAAACCTGTCTGGGATTTGATGAATTTGATTCAAATAGTCTGGGATGATGTTTCCTTTTATTGTTTTACTAAGTATGATGATAAGGCAAGTGCTGGAGGCAGGGGGCAGTTCACCCTGAGGTGAATCCCACTCAGCTCAGCTCTTTAGATATTTCCCATGCAATAAACGCTTCCCTAACAATCCTCAGGGAAGGGCTGGATGGCAAAAGGAAGCCCATGAGGTGACTCCCTTATCCTCATCTCCAGACTTAATCATTTACCCATTATCCCACGTGCAGCTTGTGGCTGAGTGGTGATAAATGCTGGTGTTTAGATGCCAGCTTTTCATAACAGTGACCACTGAATAGCTTCAGAGCTGTTTTCACAGGATCCCAGCAGGGTGGGGTTGGAAGGGACCTCTGGAGATCATCTCATCCAACCCCCTGCTCCAGCAGCTCACCCACAGCAGGGTGCCCAGGATGGTGCCCAGGGGGGTTTGGGATCTCTCCAGAGCAGGAGACTCCACAGCCTCTCTGGGCAGCTGCTCCAGGCTCGGCCACCCTCACCCCAAAGAAGTTTCTCCTCCTGCTCAGGTGGCACCTCCTGGGTTCCAGTTGGTGCCCGTTGCCCCTTGTCCTGTCCCTGGGCACCACTGACCAGAGTCTGGCCCCAGCCTCTTGCCCCCCGGGGCCCTTTAGCTCTTGCTCAGCACTGCTCAGATCCCAAATTTCACTATTTTTCAAGATAATAAGGAAAAGAGCTTGGAGACGTTGCTGTAGTAGATAAAATTATTATTTTAAGCTCATACAGGAACACCTGAAATCACCACTCAGCTTCCAAAAGTCCAACTAAGCTCCAGTTGGAACCTCTCAGGAGATGGGTTTGCTGTTCCTAGAGAGCACCTTGAATGTCAAGCTGTTCCTGGGTCAGACCCCTCAGGCTTGCGTGTGGCATTTCATGACCTTCTGCAGTCCCAAAAACGCTGATTTATGGAGGGGTCAGTGGTTGGACTCGAGGATCGTAAAGGTCTCATCCAACCCCACCGAGGTAAGTGCTCAGGCAGTGCTGAACCAGCCCAGGGCTGTGCCCTCTGCAGGACCTGCCCTCGGGGCAGCCCTGGGGCCAGCGCCAGGACGATGGGGCCCGGGGGATTGATTTTTGGGGTTCCGTGTCCCCGCTCG